TCTGCGACCATATTACTGGTTTTTATTGCTGCCAGATACACAGGACTTTTCCTGTTGCGCAATTTGTCAGTCCCCTGAAAGCGCAGGCAGAGTCCTTGCAAGAGTCTCCGCCCTTTGTAAGAGTTCCCCTGGCTGTTACTAGGGCCCTTTCCATCCCAGTAACCTGCTTCCAAGCAGAGCATCCCTCCCCGCCTTGGGGTGGGTGGATATCAGCCCTACCCTCCACAGAAGTCACCTTGCAATTGCTTCTCCTGGTCTGCTTCTCTTGGGGTGAACCATCATCATTGTATCTCCAGTTCCCCCTTTTCAAATCCCGAATCCAACCCACAGCAGTATAAAGGCCCAGGTAGTGAATGAGTACCCCCCCACACACACACACACACTTGACTCGATTTTTATTTTCTGAATATGGCCCAAGATTATGGATGGAGCCCCCACAATCCCAAGTTCCACTCTGCCCTGCACATGGGTGGAGGGGAGCAGAGGAAGCAGAGGGGCCGGCCGGGCTCCAGAGGCCTCAGGCCTTTCTGGGTCCCATCCCCCACCTGTTCTCCTGCCCGCCCTCCCCACCCTTTAAGTTTGCTCTTCAAACTTGCTGGACACCATTCTGCACCAAAGCCAAGAAAACAAGAAAGGAGGAAGGGAACAGGTTAAAGAAAACAAGAACACAATCAGACCCAGAGCAGCCTGGCCCAGAGGAGTTCCACAGGGGAGGAATGTGGCCGCCCAGACAGAGAATGTTTGTCCTGCGGCCCTACCCATGCTGGACATTAGAGCTCACCTGCCTCCTGCCTCGGAGCATTTGGGCTGCCTCCCACCCTGAGTGGCTATCACTCCCTCAACTTTGGCTTCCTTCTCGCCTTGGATAGGCATAGGGTAGGAGGGAAGGTCCAGAGGGAGATGGCGCTGGTGTCCCTGTCCTTAAGTAGTGCACAGAAGAGGCTCTGTTTTCTGCACTGGCCTCTGTGGCCTCCTCAGCAGGGATTTACCCCAGAGAGAATGGTAGACCCTGGCCCAGGTGTGCAGAATGGGGGGAGCACAGACAGGTCTAAGAAGTGGAGAGCAGTGGGGGTGGGGGTGGCATTGGCCAATGGTGCCCCTAGAGGGTTCTGGAGCTTGTGTCTGAAACACAGTTTACCTCTTCCAGAGAAACTCTGCTTATTTCTCAGACCATGCTAGTTGATTTGCAGTTTCAGGATTGGAAGGAGTTCCTCAGCTTGTCTCCAAGAGAACTGGCTCCTCCTGCAAATGCTGTTCCCTTCTCCCCACCCAATGCCCACACTAGTTCTGTCTCCCCACTTCTCTCCACATATCCTTACCCTAAGCCTGGTCAAGGCTGGCTGATGGATGTTGGCGTGGGTGGTGGGGCGGCGGAGCTAACAGGTCTGTTGGTTGGGCACCCCTTCTCTCTACAGAGGTGTAAGGACAAGCTGAATGCCTTAGCCATCTCTGTGATGAACCAGTGGCCAGGAGTGAAGCTTCGGGTAACTGAGGGCTGGGACGAGGATGGCCACCACTCGGAGGAGTCACTGCACTATGAGGGTCGTGCTGTGGACATCACCACATCTGACCGTGACCGGAGCAAATATGGCATGCTGGCCCGCCTGGCTGTGGAGGCCGGCTTTGACTGGGTGTACTATGAGTCCAAGGCCCATATCCACTGCTCCGTGAAAGCAGGTAAGACCCCTCATGCCCAGCCTTTCTCCATATCCCTTGACCCCACACAATACGGTACCCTTGCTCCAGGTCTCTCTGTAAGGCTATCTGTTGGTGCAAGAAGCCACTATTTTCTTGACCTATGAAGTGGTCTTTGACACTCTGTGGACACTAACAACTGAGGACACTAACATCCTCACCTCTAATTTGAGGGGAAAAGTAAAAGGGAAGTAAGGGCCAGGGAGGAAGGAGCACCCTGTGAGTCCCCTCCCTGCCAACCCTGAAGGCGGATGTCCACTGGCTCTCTAGCCCAGATTCAGAAGACCTGTGGCTTTCAAGTCTCCAGACCCCACTTTTTGGAGTCCCCACTGCAGGTGGTGGAAACGAGAAGAAAGAGTGAAGGCTGGCGGGGAGTACTGAAATTTCCATGGCGACTCTGCAGTTAGCCAGGTCTTTCCTCTCTCATTTGGGGCTTAAAAACCTACCACCACTCCCACTAAGTGCAGGAGGGTCTGTCCAGGGCATAAATGGGCTGCTGGCTCCTCCCTGCTGAGCGCCTGTGGATTCTTAACTAACCTAACTCACTCGCTAAGCCTTTGGGGAGAGGCCTGGTGGGAGGCAATAAACCCAGTAGTTACCACTTCCAACATCTGGAGCCGAAGGAAGCATCCGTTCTTATTAGGAGCCCAGCTGGGGTGCCCTGCGTAGGGCAGGAACGGGAAAGGCCATCCCCTCCCAGTCTGCAGCTGGAGCGCCTGGCCGCAGGCTGAGGCTGACTTCCCTGGGCCTGCAACGCCACATGCTGTTGCCGGGAGGAACAGCCACGGCAGCGAGGCATTACCCACACACGCGCACTACCCGACTTGGGGCCGTATGTGCAGATCTTGCCATCTCTCGGACAAGTAGACACATTTAGCAAGACAATTCACAGTGAATTTCGAAGGAATTGTCTTCCGTGCCCCCCTCCAGTTTTCCCCGTTTTCTTCTAAACTGCATTTTAAGGGCACGTTAGTAGGAAAACAGTGTTAAAGCCCACTGCTTCTTGCAACAACCGAAGGTGAAGGTGTGAGAGCTCAGGTAGGAAAGTCGTGTACAGCTCCTGGTGACGCCCCTACCCCTGCACGGGCTCAAAGCGAGGAGACTTTTGCTGGGGATTCTTTCTATGCTCCGGATGGGAAACGGTGGTGGCTGGAGGCCCTCAGCCCCCGGCGCGCCCTTTCCGGGACCTTGCTCCTGCGCTTAGAAGCGCGAGGTCTCCTTTACGCCAGCACTGTTCGTGAGGTCCCCCTGGCGGAAGTCCCTAGAGGTCTCTTCCCAAATGAGCAGCGGTAATCCCGCCCCGAGGGTCTCGCCGGGAGAGCAGAACCCTGGGCGCCGAGCCGCTCATTGGCATTCTGCGCACGCTAGCCTGGGCACGGCGCAGTGCGTGTCAAGCAGGGTCGTGCGACTCGACGACTTGGGCTCGCCAGCGCCCGGGGTCGCATTCCGGGGGGCTACAGAGGGCCTCCAACGGCCAGCCCCGCACTTCATGACAGAGAAACCGATGAGAAGATTAAAAACCTTCTGTAATTCCAGCAGGAAGATTCTTTCTCGCAATCTCTATTTGCAAAAAGCATGATCCCGGAGATTGGAATGCAAAGAAGATCCATACCTCCCTGCCTCTCGTCCCTGCCACCCCCCCCCTCGCCCGTGCTCCGCCCCAACCTCAATTATTGTCCTCGGGATAGTGAGCCTCAGAAAGCGATGGAGGGCCGAGGAAGCGGGTAGTCGAGGGGCCTTGAAACCCGGCGCTTCCAGCGCTCCAAGCAGGCCTGGCCATTTAAAATTCAAATACACATCTCGAGTGCTTCCCAGAGAGGCCTGGCTGTGCAAATAGTGCCTGTGAGGCCCGGGCTTCTGGAGAGCCCGTGTGTGAATTGCACACGGGGGGCCGGGGGTGGGGGTTGCACCTGAGCAAATAGGGAGGGGGCAGCCTACAAGCTGGAGAGTGAGCTGAGAAAGGGGAGGAGGAGAAATGGAAGTGTCCCCTTTTCCAAGAGTGTCTTCTATTTATTCCAGAATCACAATGACAAAGCTGGGCCCTTTATTGGATTTTAATTAGAAAATCCACACAAGCCTCGGATTTTCACACCTCGGGCAATTCTCTGGAATGTTTGGCCAGTTGCTACAACTACTACAGCTATTTTTCACACACCACTCCCCCCCCCACAGGCTAACAAGAGGGCCCTGCTGGGCGGGGGAGGTGGGGAACATCCATCCGGGGTGGGGTTCCAGCGCAGCTTGGGTGCTGAGCACACTGGGAGACTCGGGGACGGGAGGCGCGGAGGGTGCGCCCTGATACCCGCGAGAGCTCAAGGCTTCCCGTGGCATCCACGTGGCGAACAAATATCCTGAGTTCGCAGCGAGGGTGGGTGTGAGCGGTGGGGCGGGAGGAAGGCGGAAGGCGGGGAGGGTAGCCGGCCTCCTTCCCGAAACGCCGGCCCCGACGTGGAGTCCTTCAGGAATGCGCCTGCATCTGAATCCTGCCACCGAGGCGGCGGGGCTGGCGGAGGGGCGAGGTCCGCGCTGGACAACCTGGACTCGAACCCCGGCCCAGGCTCACGCGTGGCGCACACCTCCCGTCCCACGTGGTACTCAACCCCCTGTGCCCTCTTCTCTCCTTTATCCCCGCCCGCAGAGAACTCGGTGGCGGCTAAATCCGGCGGCTGCTTCCCTGGCTCAGCCACGGTGCACCTGGAGCAGGGTGGCACCAAGCTGGTGAAGGACTTGCGTCCCGGGGACCGCGTGCTGGCTGCTGACGACCAGGGCAGGCTGCTCTACAGCGACTTCCTCACCTTCCTGGACCGCGACGACGGCGCCAAAAAGGTTTTCTACGTGATAGAGACGCGGGAGCCGCGCGAGAGACTGCTGCTCACCGCCGCGCACCTGCTCTTCGTCGCGCCGCACAACGACTCCGCCGGGGACCCCGAGGCGCCGTGGGGCACGGGGCTGCCACCGGGGCGCCGGGCGCTCTTCGCCAGCCGCGTGCGTCCAGGCCAGCGTGTGTACGTGGTGACCGAGC